TTGAGCACGGGATGGGAGGTCTGTATACCAGCGATAAGTTGGTTTGGATGCGACAAACCATTGAAGAGCTGTTCCGCGCCAACGATGACCTCCACGGCGACGAAGTGGACGACTTTGTGGCCGAACTTTTGGACAATGAATTTGACACACATCTGGAGGACGGCTCGTGTCGTGTATTCGCCAACAATTTGTGCGCTTTCTATCGGTTGTGTAGAAGTGGTCGACAACAAGAGGTTGTCGACAGAATACAAGACATTAAGAAACTGAGAGATAGTGTTACAAACGGTGGTAACAGTAGTGCACACAATATTAATCGAGTTGTTGTTGAAAATGCATTGAATTCTCTGGACATCGATGACGATCAAGAAGATGACAATATGTCAGACAATGAAACGGCACAGAAAGTGGCCGTTGAGGTACAGCCTGAAGATGAGGGCTGGACTCGAGTCGACAGAAAGAATAGGAAATAAAATTTAGTCCTAAAATAATGTAATTTATATTTTCAATTAAAAATTATTTACATTTAATGAATTTGTCAGTATATGATTGGATATGGTTTAAAATGGATTCATTATATTAGACATATTCTTCACCATTATATCAGTTACGATTAAATAGTAATCATATTTTTACAAACATTATTATTACCAGTAGTTTAATAATCCATTATAAATATGGCTTATATTAAGTGATAAATAATTTCTATTAAATTCATTTATTAAATACAGGAAAACAAGTCTTTGTACAACAGTTAGTAGAAAAGGAGTGTTTAATTTCAGTGCAGTGTCTCATCGATGGCCTCCTCATCGCTCGGCGCCGTGTCTTCCGTTAATTTAATACTCGGATTATATAATAATCCGTTTTCATCGGCACTACTCAACAGTTGACATATAATCGGCGATTCAATCTGTGAATACAAAATGATTAAATCAAATGAAAGCACAACTAAAATAATATTTTATATAATTACTCCTAATATGTATTCACAAGTCTTTGGCTCCAATAGATAGAGGGCAACGGAATCGGGATGTCCTGAAATGTTGCGGCACTTCATCTTCACTTCGACGGATCGCGATTTGCCGGTCATATCGCAGGAATCGCCGCCAGAATAGTAGTGCGACACCTGTTTCGGTGTCTTATTGTTTTTGGGTTTCTTATTGGGATTACTATTAATCCATTTCATGTGCTCTCGTTTATCCCATTTGCCTAACGTTATCACCGTTTTCTTGACGCCCTTTTCTTCGTGATATTGTTCCACTTTATTGCCGTAACAGAACTCATACCTCCACCAACCCGTGCCCTATCGGTGGACATGAATTGCCGATTAAAAACAATAGAGCTTTTTGTTATTGTATATTCACTACTCACTCCGTGTAAACACAAATCTCCGCTCAAAAAGTTTTGCAATATTTTTGAGTCAAACCTTGAGGCCAAGTCTTGACCACTACTCGCGGGCTCTTCCGTACTGTCATCGCTGATGATATTAATGCGTAACTCTTTGCCAAAGTCTGTGGCGCCGATGATTATGGTTTTGCCGTCGAATATACCGCCGGCAAAGGGCGACGCTTTGTCCTTATTCTTCAACACTTCCAACTGTTGTTTCTTCGCCTCGTCTTCGAGCGCTTTCAGACCCTTCGGCTTTGCGGGCGATTTGTCCACCGAATAGCAACTGATCTGATTCTCGGGCGCGTTCTTCACCTGAAACTCGGGCGACAGGCATAGGAGTGGCGACAATACGATGGCCTCGTATTCACAAGTGGACGTCTCTTTGATCGAATAGAGTTCGTGTTTCGCGTCTTCGTTACACACATAGAGGACACGAGTGAACCGTTTTGTGTTACTTAAGTCACACAGAGTTCCGTCAGTCATATTGATCTCAATGTACGGCAACTGTGTCTCATCGACGGTAATCGTTGGCCGCTTTTTGCCTTTTTTGACTAAGTGTTGCAAATATGCGCCAAATTGTTGTTCACTCGACGGGAGTCGCGATAATTCATATTTTCCTAAATAATACTCTTGTGTCGCGCCCTATAAATGAGATAATGGTTTAGTCACTCAATTGGTCAGTGTTTGCGGGCATTTCTATTACAGGTTTGGTCTTCTGTTGTCCGCTGTCTTCGTGGAATTGTCTGATATACCTTCCGTGGCATATCTCATACGTCCAGTACTGTTCCAACCGATAGGAACACACCTCACGAGCGAACAGTGGTTTCAGCAATTGATATGCGCTTAACTCAGAGTCCGTACGCTTTTCCAGCGAATCCAACGATGTCTTCGCCAGTGGATCAGTCAATCAAAACAATGGTATTATATATTTGATTGAATCCATATATACAATGACTTACGACTGAATCAATTTGCGGTAAAACACAGACATATTTCTCTTGGGATGCGGTTGTGATGTAGAGATGATTATCGTCCTGAACCACATCCTGAGGAATGCAAACAAATTAATGCATTATTTGCGAGAGAGAGAGAGAGAGAGAGAGAGAGAGAGAACAAATATGCGCCAAATTGTTGTTCACTCGACGGGAGTCGCGATAATTCATATTTTCCTAAATAATACTCTTGTGTCGCGCCCTATAAATGAGATAATGGTTTAGTCACTCAATTGGTCAGTGTTTGCAGGCATTTGTATTACAGGTTTGGTCTTCTGTTGTCCGCTGTCTTCGTGGAATTGTCTGATATACCTTCCGTGGCATATCTCATACGTCCAGTACTGTTCCAATCGATAGGAACACACCTCACGAGCGAACAGTGGTTTCAGCAATTGATATGCGCTTAACTCAGAGTCCGTACGCTTTTCCAGCGAATCCAACGATGTCTTCGCCAATGGATCAATCAATCAAAATAAATGGTATTATATATTTGATTCAATACATATATACAATAACTTACGACTGAATCAATTTGCGGTAAAACACAGACATATTTCTCTTGGGATGCGGTTGTGATGTAGAGATGATTATCGTCCTGAACCACATCCTAAAGAGTGACAATAGATTGCAAACAAATTAATGCATTATTTGCGAGAGTTCGCTTAAAACAAGAGAGTATTTCGGCGAACAGAACGGCTCACTAATCATCGGGTGTTTGAGATTGAGTCCAAACTGGACAACAAAAGTGGTAACTTTGATGAGAAAAAGTGCGAACAGTTTGGCCGCTATTTGGCCGCCGTTGAGGCCAAAGCAGAGCCCAAGAAATCTAGAGACAGGGAAAGGGATCTGATTCCACGTCGACTCGACAAACAAGTGCTCAAATCAGTGGAAGTGCGGCCAACTCTATCGCAATACTGTGTGGCCGTCATTCGGCCCGACTGTCCAGAAGTGCACTTAAATCCCATTCAATCTGTCATTCAATTCAAACCCAAACTCAATTATTTAGACGAAAAGTATTCAACGGAAGTCTCGTCCGGCGCTAAACCAAAGACCGGCGCCTCCGGTGGCGGCGACGAAGAGTCTGAGGCCGAGCTGTCATCGCAGGACGAGGCGGAGGCGCAGACGCCGTCAAACATTCAGACAATAACGATGCGATTCGCCGGACCCGATGAGGACAAGAAGCGTAAGGCCCGCGAGAACTCGTTCGCATATCTGCAGCAAACGC